GATCACTCCCTACAAGATATTAACCCAAATCCTAAAAAACCTACCAAAATGAAATCAAACAATTAGAAAAAAATTAAAAAATTTTTATTATTGTTTCTATATTATATTATTTTTTTAAATTAGTATAAATAATTAATATTTCCATTTATGTAATTTTTGTAGTTTTTAATTGTTCCTGAAAAAAATAAAAAAAAAATTTATTTGAGAACCTAGATAGTACTTAAAATACTATTACATCATTTTTATAAAAACATAGATCCAGATTCAACACTATTTTTTGTTTTATTTGTAAATGCTGCAAATTAAAAACATATTCACACACCCCCACCTACAATGCAGATAAAATTATTTTTAAAATCACACACCCCACCTAAAAACACACAATTCTTTTATTCTTTTTAAATAATTTTTTTAATAAATATTGAAAAATCATTATTGCACTAATTTTTTTTTTTATTTCTGTTATCTATAAAAAGATGAAGGTGGCTATTGTTTTTGCACCAACATAAGATACGGAGCACTTGTTAATTTTGAAAAAAAGATTTAAAGCAATTAGAAGAGATTAAGGTAGTTTTTTTATTTGCATTTTTAAAGAATCCATTAAATATTAATTAATCTACATTTATTATTAATTGTTAAATAATTTTCAAGTAATTCCAAATAGAATATTATTAATTTTTTTTTTTATTTACCACCATTTCTACCTTTTTTTTTTAAATCCAAATATTTAACAACTCATATGAAAACACATTTTAAAATAATAAAAAAAATACTATTTAAACAATCCAAAAATACCACATTTTGCACCAATTATATCAGTAAACTACCACTTTAGACCAACAGTTACCAAAAATATTTCTAAATGATGATATGATGATTTAACTATGATATAAAAAAAAAATCTTTTGAATCTATTATCAAATTCCATTAAAAAAAAAAAATTAATCTATTTAATCTTTTATTTACTGTGCAAAACAGTATTAAAATAATTATATATTATAATAATAATATTTAACTTTTTTTTTTTTTTTTTTTTTTAAATTATGTGTCTTTATTTTTTTTACTCTTGATTATTTTTATTATTAAAAATTATTTTATTTTTTAATAGTTGGTCTGGTAGGAAGAGAAACTTTTAATAAAGGTCTGGAAATAGTTTTAGAGGTTGTAGTTTTTATTGCAGTAGTAGTAAAAGAAGTATTTATTGTTTGTGATGACACTGATGAAGAATTGTTAAAGAAGGAGAATGGGTTTTGATAAGATGGTTTTGTGGTTGTGGTTGTTACAATATTATTAAATTTACCAATATTATTATTGTTGATATTTACACTATTAGTTTTACTATTATTATTATTATTATTTTTTAATGGAGATTTAGATGATGAAATCGAATTGACATCATCATCCATATTAATGAAATTGTTTGTATCTTCGACCTGGGGGTATTTAAAAATTAATGGTTAGTAACAATAATTTAACGCTATATTGATTAAAAAACACGTCACCTAAATGGGTAGTGTTGTAAAAATAATATACAAAAAAAAAAAAAATTAAAATAATAAAATCTATAAAAGAAAAAAAAAAAAAACTTGTGTGTAAAAAATAAAACACTTATATTAAAATGTCTTATCCGTATCTGTCCTATTTTTGTATCTTTTCAAAATAGGTTTAGGAGATAAGTTGAAAGATTCTTTCTCTTGATCTTTTAATTTTTTAATTCTTGAACCAGCACTAACCAATCCACTCTCCTTTTTTTTTTATTTTGTTTAAGTTATTTTGAATAAACGCTGTGTTAACAAAAAAAAAAAAATAAAAAAAGGTCATAGATAATGCTGGTGTTTCCAAATTATAAAAAAAAAAACCAAAAGATTGAATCTTTTTTTAATCTTGGGTGGGAAACGAGGAGATTAAAAATTGTAACATTAATCTCACAGATAACACCCGAATTTAACAAAAAAAAAAAAAAAAAAAAAAAAACGTTTTTTTTTATAATAAAATCAGAACACAAATAATTGAATGTGGTTTGTTAACAAATACAACACCAAAATATCTATAGATAACAGTTATTATGAACACAAAAAAAAAAAAAACTGACAACAAAAAATCCACGTGAGGTGCTACTATATGAACAATATAGATTTCAAAACAAGTGTTCTATTCTTTGATTGTCAATAAACAGGCAACAAATTATTAAAAAATAACTATTTTATTATAACAATAACTTACATCTTTGTCATATACTCCATGTTTAATATCTTCAATATGGTTCTGTTTTTTTTTTTTTTAAAAAAAAGTATAAATATTAAATAATTTTTTAAATTAGTATCGTATTTTAAATAATTAAATATATAAAACTATATTACCTTAACCAACTTGGATTTTCCCAACACCTCTATTTTAACAATTGAATCCTCTATTGAAATCGCTGGATTAATTTCTTTTGACCATTTACTATATATTCCAAAAAACAATTCTAAATTTGTCTGTTATAGTAAAAATAATGGTTAATAATACAACTGTAGCCTACTATGTAAATCATATTTTCTACTTACTTTATTCGAATGCTTTGCTGAAAATTTAGAGCTCTTTAAATTCTTATAAAGCTTTCTAATGCCATTGGTAGCAAGTACGTCCCTATCTTTGATAGTTCTAGAAACTGTTTTTCTATTTGTAATTTTCACTTGTGCGCTTTTTTTATTTACAGTTGGTTTTGATGGTGAAGTATCATTATCGTCGATTGATTTATTTGATGATGATGGGCTATATGTTAAAGTACCCATATTTTCTTTCATTTCCTCCTCATCATTATAATACTCTTCTTGTTCTTGTTCTTGTTCTTCTTGTTGATCAATGTTATTTTCAAATTCATAATTATTATATTGTGATATCTCTTCATCATTATTCATAAAGTTATAATCTTCTTCCTCTTCTTGTTTGTTTGGTGTTTTGATTGGTGATTTCTTTTTGGGAGATGCCGTTTTTTGTTGTAAAACCTTTCTGACTTTTGGTGACAATGGTGATAATGGCGAGATAATATGTTTATTATTATTTTCAGGGCTATTATTTGTACTACTATTATTACTTTTGGTTGAAGGTGAAACTAAAACTTTTTTTTTTAATCTATTTCTTGTAAATTTTGGTGAAGGTGTTTTAATATCTTCAACATCTAAATCTATATCACCAATATTATTTATACTTATATTTATATTGTCATCCTCATCATCTAAAACCACATTCCTTCTTTTATTTTTATTTATTGGTGTTTTTATTATAAACTCCTCATCTTCCATTCTACTTATTTATAAATTATTATTATTTTATATGTGTTTGTTAGAGCTATACAGTAAAGAAATTTTTAAATAAAAAAAAAAAAAAAAAATTTTAATTTTAAAAATTTCAAAAATAAAAAAAAAAAAAAAGGAGGGGAATTTTAGATTGTGGTAATTTCAACAAAATTATTATAATAATTATTAAATCGAATAACAAAAAAAGAGATGTACTTAAATATAAAATTTAAAATAAATAAATAATAAAAAATAAATTTATTTAATATTAACCATTTTTATAAGAAATTTTTTTTTTGTTTTAAAGAACAATGGTAAAAACAAATAAATGTGGGTTTATTATTAACTAAATATAAAAACTTTAATATGGAAAATAAAAAATAAAAAAAAATAAAAAAAAATAAAAAAAAATAAAAAAAATAATTATCTGTTGTTTTCGTTTTTTTTTTTTTTTTTTTATATTGCATAAAATTTTATAAAAATTTTTTTTTCAAAAATTAAAAAAAAAATAAAATTTTTTTTTAAAACTTTTTATTATTTTTTTTTTAATTATATTATTTTTTTTTGAAAAGAAATAAAATGAAATTTAAAACATATACATCAATTCAATATGGTTTTTCAGTTGATTATCCATCAAAATGGGCAGTTAAAGAACATGCAGCAATGTTTTTGGCTTCATTTGTAGAAGATCCAACTAATGAACAATCATGCAGCATTAATATTACAATTCAAAATTTAGATGGTTTGTATTTTAATTAAAATAAATATTTAAAATAAAAAAGCAAATACTAATTATATTTACATCTTTATTTATTGTTGTTTTATTTTTTATTTTTTTTTTTTTTTTTTTTTACATTAAATAATAAATTATTAATAATTATTATATATAGGACTTGAACCAGGAGTTAAAATGACACAACAACAATTATTAGAAGTTTCAATTCAACAAATTCAATCAATTAATGCACAAGACATTGAAACAGGTTCATGCACTATTGGCAAATATAAAGGTGACTTTTTACAATACTATGCACCAGAACAAAGAATTAAGAACAAACAATGTTTCTTTATCAAAGATAGCTCTGTTTATATTGTCTCTTATACATCATCCTTCAAAAACTTTAAGAGTAGAATACATTATCTCGATCAATGTTGCGAATCCTTTAAACAATTTACACCAAAAGGTTATAAATATGCTCAATTTGAAGCTTTTACTTCAACAGTCAAAAACGTCAATAATGAAACAGTATACTACCAATATTGGACACCAAAGGCATGGAAGACTTCCAAAAAAGAAAAGGAAGGAAACAAACAAGTTCAAGAATATAAAGACCAAGCTAATGATCTTCAATTAAAAGTTGAATTTGAATCACTCACCCAAAAAGGAGATGAAACAACAACTGATAAGAAACACCAAAACAATAGAACCCACTTAATTTATACCAATAGTAAACACAACTGTTTATTCACCATTGACTTCTCATTCCCAAAAGAAGATGAAGAAACATCATCATCATGGGAACCAATTTTCAAACGTATAGTTGCCGATAGCAAAATTGAAACTTCACATTTAGTATCACCAATCTATGATCGTTTCTACAACTTTATCTTTAGATATTATGTTAATCTTCCAAAATCATTCGAATTAGATAATCGTTCCTCAAACACCACTTCAATGATTTTCATCGACAAAGAATACCCACACTATCCAGTATTCAACATCACCATGGAAGATTTAGGTGTAGCAATTCCATTAGAAAAATACAAAGAGATCCTTTTATCCTTTTACACTACCTCTGTTCAAGGTGCTAGAATTATAAATGAAGAAAATTCTCGTCTCGATAAATATCGTGCTCTTAGAATTAATATGGACGGTCGTGACCCAGAAATCGATAAGAAATGTAAAGTCATCATTCAATGTGCTGTCGTCAAACGTACCAAAGGTCTTTTACTCAATGTTCGTTTACCATCCGAAATTTTTGAAGAAAAAATCAAAAAATATTTTTACATGTTTTATAGTTTAGTTTTTTATAAAAATTAAAAAAATTTTATTAATAAATTAATAAAAAAAAAAGAAAAGAAAATAAATAAAAAACCCAAAATAATAAAAATAGCAAAACACAAACCAAATCAATTTATTCATATAAACAATATATACCAAGAAAAAAAAAAAAAAGATATTACCCCAAAATTTTTATTTTATTTTTTCAATTTTTTTTTTTTCATTTATTTATAAATTTTAAAAAAAAAATTTTTGTTTGAAAAATATATAGTTATAAATAAATATTCTTAATAGTAATAATGGCAGGAAAAAGAAAAGATAAAGATAATAGTAGTAGTGATGATAGCAGTAGTGAAGATGATATAAAAAAGAAAAAATTAAAAACAAATACTCCATTAATCAAAGTATCGGTGACATCAAACGATAATAAAAATAAACAATTAACAGATATTTTAACAGAATTAAGTGTTTTCGAAAAGAATAAGGGACAGGTACACAGATTTACAGCGTATAGAAAAGCAGTTCTTTCAATTAAAGCATACCCACACGAAATTAAAAGTGGTTTGGAGGCTCAAAAGCTAGATGGTGTAGGTGCAAAAATTGCAAAAAAAATAGATGAAATCTTAAAAACAGGTGATTTAAAGAAATTAAAAAGTCAAAACCAAGATGAAACTTTAACCGCAATAAATCAATTATCTAGAGTTACCGGTATTGGTCCACAAAAAGCAAAGTCCTTAGTAGAGGAGGGTATCAAAACTATTGATGACTTAAAGAAAATCAAAAACACACTGACCCATCATCAACAAATTGGCTTAAAATACTTTAGTGAATTTGAACAAAGGGTACCAAGAAAAGAAATAGAGGTATTTGAAAAGCTAGTTAGTAATAGTTTGTTTTCAATTGATCCAAATATTATTTCGCAGGTTTGTGGTAGTTAGTAAGTATAGTTATTTTTATGTATAAATAAATAAATAAATAAATAAATATAGTTACTAATTTATTATTTCTTAAAGTCGTAGAGGTTTAGAGTCAAGTGGAGATATAGATATTTTGATAAGCCATCCCAATTTTACATTGGAAATGAAGGATAAAAAGAAAACATTTAATATCATTGAAAAACTAGTAGAATCATTAAAAAAGAAACATATATTAATTGACGATTTAAGTTTAGGTCCTCTTAAATATATGGGTGTTTGTAAATTAGTATGTTTAATTATTTATTATTTATTATTTATTATTTTAATTATTTTTCTTATTTCATTATTCCATAGCCAGAAAATATTAAAATAGATAGTGTAGATATTAAAAACAATAAAAAAGTAGAAAGTGATAGTGACGATGAAGATTGTGATGGAGGAACTACTATAGATGAATATAATTCTAGTGTTGACTACAGCGAAGAAGATTTTAGCACAGACGAAGAGGAAGATGAAGAAGATGACAGCTCAGCAACCGAGCCTGAAGATAATTCAAAAAATGTAAAAAAGAGTTCTAATAATTTAAAAAAAAAAAAGGTAGAAAAACCCCAACCAAAATCAAAACCAAAATCAAAAACAACTACCACCACAACCACAGCAACTGAAATTTCAGAACAACATATTGCAAGAAGAATTGATTTTAAATTAATTCCATACGAATCTTATTATTTTGGATTACTTCACAACACTGGTAGCGATGAATTTAATAGACAAATGAGAGGTATAGCATTAAAACAGGGTTTTACCTTATCAGAATATTCAATAAATAAATTATCAAAGGGCGTCAAAAACGAAACTCCAATTTTGGTCAATAGCGAAAAAGAAATTTTTGATATCATTGGTATGGAATATTATCCACCAAATAAAAGAAATCTTTAAACAATAAAATATATTAAATAATCAAATAATTATATTAATTCCTTTTTAATCCAATTTTATTTTTTTCATTTTTTTTTTTTTTATTTTATTTTTTAATTTTTTTATTTTTTATTTTTTTTTAATTTTTTTTTTTATAATTGCATATATAAATAAATAAAAACGATAAATACATAAAATGGATCCAAATAGAATTATAGACTCTATAAAACTATATAGAAATTTTTCAAGATTGTTTTATAAATTTCCTGAAGTACTACAACCAAAAATTAGATACAATTTAAAAGAAGCTTTTGATATAAACAAATATTTATTAAATAATAAAGAAATTAACCATGAAGATATAGACACACTTATTAGAAAATCAAATAATTTATATTTAAAACTATCATCAATGTCAGAGAAAACAGAATTATTTTCAGAGTTGTTTAGAGTAAATAAAATAAAATAAAATAAAATAAAATAAAATAAAATAAAATATAAAACAAGAAATCTATTGTTACTTTTACTAATTTTCAACTATATAGCCAGGAAAAATGTTTCAATCAAATAAAACTTATACAGGTAAGGATATTAGATATAAAGTATCAAATATTGATGAAGAGGGACATCAAGACAGACCTAAAGATTTATTTGAACTTAATAAAAAAAAAAGAAAAGTTGAACTCATTACTCAAAAATATATAAGAGAAAAGTCTCGAAATAAAGAGAATACCCATAATAAAGAGAATCCCCAAAATAACAATAGGTTCAATCGTCAAGAATTTGAAGTTATTTTGGATCGTATTATTCAAGAAAAATAGGAATCCGCTGCATCAAATTATAACTATTTTTTATGAACAAAAAATTAAATTAATTAAAATCGAATAATAATAATTCAAACCAAAGGTTTAAAATAAATAAAATGTATATCATATTTAAAAGAAATAAAATGTGGATTGATCATATTTATTTGTGTTTTTTTTTTTTTTTTTTTTTTTAAATTTAATTTTTTTTAATTTTTTAATTTTTTTTACATTTACTTTTTTTAATTTTTTTTTTTAACGAGTATTTCGTTTATTTATAAATAATTATTAAAATCAATCATGACATCAAATGTTATAACACCAGGACAAAGATTAGCAAAAGATAGCGAATATATATCATCAGAAGGAACATATACACATAAAGGTTATATATATTCATCTGTTTTAGGATTTCAGCATATAATCAAAAAAAATTTAAATAAACCAACATCAGAAGAAATTAATAATAGTAATAATAGTAATGTAAATAATAGCGATGATAGAGATTTTATTGTAGTTTTAAAAGAAAAAGAACCATCAGTTGTACCAGAAATAGGCAGTATAGTTACTGTCCAAGTACTTCGTATTAATCCAAAGTTAGCAAGTGTTGCAATTCTTTGTGTTGGTACCAAAGCTTTAAAAGAAACTTTTAATGGAATTATTAGAATTCAAGATGTTCGTGCTACTGAGATTGATAAAGTAGAAATTTATAAATCATTCAGACCAGGCGATATTGTTTTAGCTCAAATTGTAAATATATCAAATATTTTATAAATAATTATCAAATATTTTTTATTTATAATACTCACATTCATTAACATAATTAATTATTAAAATAACAATCTATAGATTTCATTAGGTGATTCAAGATCATATTATTTATCAACTGCTAAAAATGAATTAGGTGTTGTTTTTGCACAATCTGTTTCAGGTAGTACTATGATACCTATAAGTTGGAATACAATGCAATGTCCAAAAACAAAAATAAAAGAGTTTAGAAAAGTTGCTAAAATGGAAAGTGAACCAGAACAAAAGCAAGAGGAAGAAGCCGATAAATAATATAATAATTAATTTAAAAATAAAAACTAAAACCCAAAAAAATGTTTTTTTGGGACCATAACCATATTATTTAGTTTAAATAATCTTTTCTTTTATTTTTATTATATGATGTTTATGTTCTTTTTTTACACAGATTTTATATATTATTAGTATTGTTTTAATATCTTAATATTGAAAATAAAAAAAAAAGATAAATAAAAAGATTAAATTTTAATTTTAAATTTTATTTTTTTTATATAACTAAATTTAGTTATTTTAAAATAGTGATAAATTATTTGTGCTGGTAGAAACCATAATAGATTTTGCTAAATTTCTTGCTAAAGAGACACGAAGAATTTGAATATCTTGGTTTGAAATAGATTGTGAATATTGATCGAATAAATGGGATTGTATAATTTCTTCGAGACAAGTTTGTAAGAAAAGGGTATCTTGATAGTTGAAATAAACATTCTTATTACTTTCGAATAATGGTATACAATCAAGTAATAAACGAAGCCAGAAATTCTTTGGAATAATTTTATCTTTAAACATTTGACATAATAAGCTAGAGTATTCTTTAAATGATCTTTCTTTCCATAAATTAATTAATTCTCTATATTTAATTAAAAATATTAATTCATTGTTGCTTGATATATCGAATGTGGAAGCTTCACTACCATTGTTATTATTATTATCTCTATTAGTGTTAATTTGTAAATTCTTTTCTAAAATTGATTGGAGATCATTTAAGAAATCTGAATTTAATTGATTCTCTAAAAGATAATTTGAAAGTTGTGTTATACGTGAGCTGTCATTTGTTAAAATTAACCATGATAAAGCTGATGCATATCTTTGTCTTTGGAAATCTTTAACTGAAAGCATTTTGTAAATTGAATTTTTAGTTTCTTGTGAAGTTACCCAATTATCTATCATTTTTAATGCATTTTTTTCATATTGGATTGGTTGTCTTGAAATAAATTCATCAATCATAAATTGACCATTTTCGACATATTTTAAGTAGTTGCATCCAACTTGGAGTAATGCTGGATCTGAAGCTAATGATTGACCATGCTCCGATAATAAATGTTCTCTTACTTTTGTTAATTCTGATGGTTCACTTGGACTCTTTCTCATAAAATATGGATGATGGTATAATAAATCACTTAAATGAGTTGATAACCAAGTTGGGAAGTATTTTGAAATGGTTTTTAATGGCTAAATGTAAATATAAAATGTTAGGATCACAGTTATTGGGTTTAAAATATTAAAAATAAAATACTTACATAATTTATTTCTTTAGTTGCAAATGATAAAAATATTTTTTCAATTTCGCTTGGTTCTTGTATAATTTCATAGCATTGGGTGAAAAGTGAACGAAGAGCACTGGTTGAAGTTACGTATTCTACATAGAGTAAATTTGAAATGACTAATTGGAGGAAACTATTCTTACAATAATATCTAATTGTTTCTTGATCACCTAAAAGAATTTTAATAATTGGTAAAAGATTTTCATCGATTTGATTTTTACTTGAACTGCCACTATCAATATATTGTGTTAATTGTCTTTTGGAATCGGTGCTCCATTTCTTCCATTGCAATAAAGTTTCATTTGGATTAAAGTTTGATTGTTTCTTTTTTAATGGAATTTGGGTGAGAATATCGACTAATAAATTAATTGGTGATTTTCTGGCAGTTGATGTAATTTGTGATGCACTACGTGGAGCCTTGCTCATTAAACCCAAAATTGAAATAACCTGATCGATACAACCACATACTAAAAGTTTAGCCATGTGATCAAAACAAACTGGATCTGATGTTTCAATTCTTTTATTCATAATACCCTCGTAGGTGTCCATTAATTCTTTTCTTTCGTTATCTATACAATCTAATAATTGATTTGGTGAAATCATACTTGAGCTTATGTTGAAATAAAATAAACTTGCGACTTTCCAAACAGTTGATGCAAGATATAAAAACTCAATCTCTTCAATATATTTAAAATAAACGTCATCTACATCTGCTGATTCAATACTGTCTTGATTTCCAAAATTTTCTGCAATATAGTTATATCTATTTGAATATTCTTCTTTTGATAAAATTCTAATTTCCGTTTGTCTTTTTATAGTATCTAATAATAATTGTTAGTTTTATTAAACTAATTTATTAATTATAAATTATAGTACCTACTTATAATATCTTGTTTTTGTTGAGTTGGTTGATTTGTTTCTCTTGCGATTAATATACATTTGGGTTTTAATTTGTTTGATATTTGTGAACATAATAAGGGGTAAATTGAGTCAGAACTACCACAGAATACAACAAGAGTATTTGAGCTTCCACTTTTTAATATATTTTCGACTCTTTCTCTATTTATATCCATTAATTCTTTATCATTTGGGTCACAATTAATGTATGAATCTTCATTGTCAATATATGAACCTGTTTTACAGGCTTTAACCATTTGTGAGATAGTTGATAAAATTACTGATAAATATGTTTTACTAAGGTGTGATATTTCTCTAAGTCTATCATCCGGTACAACTTGACTATTAGCAATTCTTTGTGTTGATTCAAAATGTGTATATAAATCATTTAAAAACTAAAGTATTTATTTGGTTAATATGTATTTATTCTAATAATAATAATTGTTGTATTAAATCTAATACATACCTTTCTTGTTGATGATAATGTATTATTGACTTGATATTTTATTTTACTACCTTTAATATTTGGTTTGAATAATAATAATTGATCACCTGTTGGTGACCATTTAAAATTGCAAAATTTTGAACTCTTTGATGTTTTGTTATTGGATGAATTTGTTGAAGAAGAGGTGGTGGTGATTTCCATTGGGGTAGTTTCAAATGTATTATTAACTGTATTAAAGGGTGATACTGTTATATTTGGAAAGATGTTTGTATTAAACCCATTATTACCATCATTTTGTTTAGAAAATGAAAACATTTCTTTTTTTAAATATATCTATTACATGATGATCAAACGAGAATAAAAAAAAAAAAAAAGCAAAAAAAAAAAAAAAAAATGAAAATTTAAAAAATATAAAAAAAAAAATGAAAAAATAAAATATTTTGAAAATTTTTTTTTTTTAATTTTTTTATTATTTTTTTTTTTTTTCTATAACCATAATTAATTTGATAAATAAAATATCAATATGAAACCTTTATTTATAATATTATTATTATTATTAATTATTTTTGTAAATTAACTAATCAGTTTTTGTATTGATGGACTCCAAATCCATAATCATTTGATCAATTTCCATTTTGTCTTCTTTTGATTCTTTTTCTTTATCTTTTTTATTATTTTTATTAAGGTAACCTATTCTTAATTGATCTAATTCTCTAGCTCTTTTTTTCGTATGAAAATGATAATTCATTGGATATTTATGAAAATCTACCAAATGAAGCTTCCTACTGTGATCGGACCAAAACATTCTATCACACACAAAGCAAGAAAACTATTTGTATAAAGATAATTAGTAAACAGAATAAAATATTCTTGTTTGAGCTATTGTTGTTATTATAACTCCTTATTATTTATTACTATTATTATTATTATTATTTATAGTTACCATTTTTTGCTTTACACATAATAAATCAAACATTGTATCATGTGTTTCTAGAATATGACATTCTAATAGTTTGTAGGTTGGGTATGATTTCTTTTTGCATATAGTACAAAAGTTTTTGTGTATACTGTGATAATGATTTTCGTAATCTATTAAACTATCAAACTCGATGGGACAAGTACAAATATATTTTATTTTTTCTTTTATAGGTTCGTCTTTAGGTAAGGTGGGGTTTGTATTATCTATATTTATATTATTATTATTATTATTATTATTATTGTTGTTGTTGTTGTTGTTGTTGTTGTTGATATTATCGTTACTATTAGAATCCAGTTCATCAATGCTATATGAATAGCATTTTTGTTTCATTATAATACTCTTTCTTTCATTATTTATATCTTGATAAAATTCATTATCTCTGTTGTATTTATGAATTCTAATTAAATTGGGAAATTCATTATATATGATGGTATTATTGTCATTATTGGGTATTTCTATATTCATTTATACAAAATATTTAGAAATAAATAGTTTTTATTATTATAAATAAAAAAGTCTATTTTTTATTATTTTTTTTATATTTTTTTTTTTTTTTTAAATTTATTTTTTTTTTTTTTTTTAAATTTAAATTTTTAAATTTTTTTTTTATACAAAAAAAATTAATTATTTTTTTTTTTGATTTTTTAATATTCATATCACATATATATATATTTATTTTATATTTATAAATAGAATATTACTTATTTATTATATTTATATTTTATTTTAAATATTTTAAAATTTTTTAAAATTTTCACTTTTTTTTTTTTTTTAAATTTTTAAGTTTATTTTAAATTGTAATTTAAACATTTTTTTTTTGTTTTTTTTGCTTTTTTTTTTTTTGTTCCATATTTAATTATTAGTTTCCTTCTTCATTGTTTTTTTTTTGTATTTCTTTTTCAATAGCTATTACTACCTTATATAATAAAATGAATGTTGGGGGAAAATTTTCAAGTGGTATTTTATTTTTAAATTTTAATCAAGATTACAGTTGTATTGCAGTTGGAACACCAGAAGGTTATAAAATTTTTAACTCAGATCCATATACATTATATTATACTCAAAGTCTATATCATACAAATAAATAATAATTATAATATAAATATAAATGATTATACTAACGGTATTATATTAATATTTTAGACAATGGAGGCGTTGGATTGGTAGAGATGTTATTTTCAACAAGTCTAGTATCAATTGTAGGATCAGGTGATAATAATACTAGTCAAAGAAGGTTAATCATTAATAATATAAAAAACAATGTACCTATTTGCGATTTAAACTTTGTTACAGCAATTTTATCAGTTAAAATGAATAGAAAAAGGTATAGTTATAAAATAGTTTAGATTTATAGATATAATAGAATAGTACAGGTTTATTAATATATTATTAATATATTATTATTTTATAAAGAATTGTTGTAATTATGGAAACTAAAATTCATATTTATGATATAAATAATATGAAGTTACTCGAGACTAGAGAAATCGCGCCAAATCCAAAAGGTTTATGTGCACTATCACCATCCAATACAAATTATATAGTTTATCCAGCCAGTCAAAACAATGGTAATATTTTAGTTATGGATATTTTAACATTAGAAACAGTCAATCTTATTCAAGCACACAAATCTCAAATCAGTGCACTAGCATTAAGCCAAGATGGCACACTTTTAGCAACAGCAAGTGATAAAGGTACAGTTATTCGTGTATATACATTACCCAATGCAACCAAGTCATTGTCATTTAGACGTGGTAGTATCCCAGCAATTATCCACTCTATGACTTTTTCACTAGACAGTAAATATCTTTGTGTTTGCAGTGACACTGGTACTATTCACATATTTAAAATCGATTTCAATAATAATAGCAACAATAGCAATGGTAATAACACGAATGTTAGTAACAGTGGTAGTGGTGGTGTATATGGTTTAGCGAATGGTTTAACATCAAAAATGTCATCTTATTTACCCGAAGTAATCTCTCAAGTTTGGGAACCCTCCAGAGATTTTGCCCGTATTAAAATTCCAGCAGGAATACCCTCAATTTGTGCTTTATCTCAAAATAATAAAACAGTGATGGTATTAACTGCTGACGGACTCTATTTACAATTTAATTTTGATGAATCTATAGGCGGCGAATTAAAATTATCAAAAGAATTTTCATTATTAACTGATCAACAAGATGAATTTTCTGCAAAAATATTATAAATAAAATAATAGTATAATAATAATAGTATAATAAATAATTATAATAACAACAATACAAATAAAAAAAATAATAATAAAATATATTAAAATAATTTTAAATAAAATAATAATTATAAATCATTATTTATAAAATTTTATAAATAAATTGTAAAAAGTTTAAAAAAATTTTTTATTTTTTTTCTATTAAAAATAATATTTTTCATATACATATCTATTAAATCAAACCGAAATTGTAAAACTTTTAAACCAATAGTAATTAGTTAATTTTTAAATTAATTGTTTTGATTGGTTTGTTTTTTTTATTATAAATTTATTATATATTCTAAACATTTTTTAAAAAATAAAAAAAAACTATAAAAAGAATTATTTTTTTTTATTTATAGATACACACTGATATTTTAAATAAATAATAACATGTTATTCAGTAAGTAAAAAAAATAGTTTTAGATAATCACTATAAAAAAATTAATTAGATAATTTTATTAAAACTAATTTTTTTTTTTTTTTTTTTTTCAAATTAAGAATCAATTCAATCTTTAAATTCAAGTTTATCATCTTCATCTATGAAGAAACTCAACACTTTTTCAAATGGTACTGGTGTTCAAGTATCAAATAAAATCTCATTGTTAGATGGAAATAATATTAGCCTTTTAAATAATAATACAGACAACAGTATTCCACTTTTATAAATATTGAAATCTAATCAATTTCATTGTTCATTAATTTTTCAATTGAACAAATAAATAAAAATATTTAATATTTGTAATGATATAAATGTTTTTTCTTTTTATTTCAATTGTTTTTAATCCATACGATTCAAACCTTAATATTAGGTCATGATTTCATTCAATAACCAAAAGAAGGAAATACCTCCTATTCAACAAAAGATGGTAGGATAATATTAATCATGCTCATCTATGTATATATGTATATGTATTTGATATGTGTGAATATGAATATGTATTTTTATATGTATGTGCATGTGTTTTTGTATGTGTATGTTTTTTGTTTTAAAAACATCCCTATCATTATTAATCGATTTGAATACTCTGATAATGGCCAAACATTTTAATTATATCATTGTATTTATTTAATTTTAAAAGTTAAATATTTATAGTTTTATTATGTGAGTGTTGTGAGACTATTTGGTAATGTGCCAGGTAGAACTTCTTGGTTAAAATAATAACCGAATTTGAGTGTTGTGAGACTATTTGGTAATGTGCCGGGTGGAACTACTTGGTTAAAATGATGACCAAATGTGAGTGTTGTGAGACTATTTGGTAATGAGCCGGGTGGAATTATTTGGTTAAAATCACTACCGAATTTGAGTGTTGTGAGACTATTTGGTAATGTGCCGGGTAGAACTACTTGGTTAAAACAATCACCGAATGTGAGTGTTGTGAGACTATTTGGTAATGTGCCGGGTGTAACTACTTGGTTAAAACTATAACCGAATGTGAGTGTTGTGAGACTATTTGGTAATGTGCCAGGTAGAACTACTTGTTTAAAACTACGACCGAATCTGAGTGTTGTGAGACTATTTGGTAATATGCCGGGTAGAACTACTTGGTTAAAACTACGACCGAATCTGAGTGTTGTGAGACTATTTGGTAATGTGCCAGGTTGAACTACTTGGTTAAAACTACGACCGAATGTGAGTGTTGTGATACTATTTGGTAATGTACCAGGTAGAACTACTTGGTTAAAATTACAACCGAATGTGAGTGTTGTGAGACTATTTGGTAATGTGCCGGGTAGAACTACTTGGTTAAAATCAATACCGAATGTGAGTGTTGTGAGACTATTTGGTAAAGTTGTAGGAGTTAATATTTCATTAAAATTGGATAAATTTTCTAAAAATGGTGGAAGTTTATTTTTATCTGGTAGTTGATCACCACACCAATTAAGTGTTGTTATATATGATTTATCCTTAAAATGGTCATAACTGGATTTATCTAGATATACACCTCTATATGAAAGAAACTTTATAATATGTTTATGAATTTCTTTTCTCAAAAATATATTATTCCAAACTATATATAATAATCTATAATAAATAGTGAAAAAGAGAAAAAACCAATTAAAATGCTTTAAATTAATATATTATTTATATTTATTGTATTGTGCTTACCTATCACTAATATTACTACTGTTTTTTAACTCTTCATTTACGCGAAAGTAAATTAGAGTTCGTAGTAACTCATTCATTGTTAGTATAAAAATAAAAAATAAAAAAAATAAAAAAAATAAATATTTATCAAATTTTTATTATTATGTGTTAATATAGATAATATAAAAAAAAAAAAATTTTTTTTTTTAAGTTTTTCAAAATTTTTATGATATTTATTTATAAATAAAAATTTCAAAAAATTTGAAAAAAAACATTTAAAAAAAACAAACGTAGCAGTAAACATTATCAAAGTTCTATATTCTTTTATAATCCTTGTTGATTTATTACGGTCTCGTTATAGCTATTAGGTTTCTATTGATTATTATTGATTTGCTTTCTTTAATTGCTTTATCCCTATATTTGCTTAATATCTAAATAGTAGATTTCGAAAATTATCATTATCTTCATTTTTACCAATTAGAGTGTTCATTATCCATTTTTTTTTAAAAAAAAAATTATCTCTTTTTTTTACTTTTTTTTAAAAATATATTTATTCATTTTTATCCATTTATAAAATTGCCAATGGATCTAAAATAACAGTTCAAATAGGCACATCATAATTTGTTTCTTTTCCGACCTATTTTTATTATTTTTTAAAATTATTATACACGTATATTTTGGTGCTATAATTATACCTGTGTTGATGCTTATATTCACACCTCTTCAATAAATGACAATATAATATTAAAAAAAAAAATTATTAATCATATTTTTATTTAAAAAAAACATTATGATCCCAATTGTTTTTATTTTTTCGCAATCACCATTAAACAAAAATACAATACAAACCTCAACCCATACCAAACCCAAAAGAAAAGGCCAAAAAAACAATAATCTAAAAAATATAAAATAAAAATTGTAAAATTTGTAATTTTTTGTTTTAAATTTGAAATATAATAATAATAGTTTCAATTTGCCACAGATGAGTTTTAGGATATTTGGGTAAAAATACCTAGACTCGCAATTATAGGTACTTCTTATGGAATTTCTTTTCGGCTACTGGTAACGGAAGTGTATTAATGCAGTCTTTAAACTTAATTATTGGAATGGATGTTGCACCTCTTGTATTTGGATTTAATGTATAAGATACTTCTTCCATTATGATCCTGCCAAATGCACCAACAACTATGGGAACAATTTCCTCACCTTGGTAATGTGCGGGTGGAACTACTTGTTTAAAATAGTCACCGAATCTGAGTGTAGTAATTGTATTTGGTAAAGTTGTTGGAGTTAAAATTTTATTAAAACTGTACAAAAATAAATTTGTCAAAAATGGTGGAATTCATATTTATCTGGTAGTTGATTACCATGCCACTTAATTGTTTATCTTTTAACTGGTTAATATGGTATATATCAAATTCTACAGCATTATGTTTAATAAACTTTAAAATATATTTATGAATTTCATTTCTTAAAAATATATTATTCCAAACTTTATATAATAATCTATAATAAATAGTTAAAAAGAGAAAAAACCAATTAATATGCTTTTAATAAATATATTATCTATATTTATTGTATGTATTGTATTGTACGTATCTATCACTTATATTACTACTGTTTTCTAACTCTTTTTTTACGCGAAAGTTAGAGTTGATAGTAGCTCATTCATTGTTAGGTATAAAAAAAAGTTCAATGTTCTTTTATTACGGCTTCGCTATAGCTATTAGATATTAATGATGATGCTTCATAAATTCACGAAATTGATAATATGAACCAATAGGAATTAATGAAATGTCAAATGGACCATATCCATCACCTATTGATTTGAATAAAGAGCAATGATCGGCTGTATCACCTACAAATTACATAGTTTTATTTTCACCCTTGACAACCCAACCGCACCATTAACTTGCATTTCTATCAAACCATCCTCTTGTGACCCTCGGTATGGTGGTGGATAACATTTTTGAATTACTGCATGTAACTTTGTCCCCCCAATCTAACTCTTGAACGCTTTCGAATCCTTTTTTTAAATGCCATGATTCCATCCATTCTGATTATGATAAATGAAGTGAACAGTACGAAGATCTTTTATTATAAATGAAGACTTACAAGTTTTTAAATTTTTTTTTTTCCTTCTTTGGAAAATTAAAAATAAATTGTTGATTATTAATTGGTAAATAAGCTTTTGGGACCGGGGGTAATATATTCTGCTTAATTCAGGGGTCCGGGGGATAAATGGTGGGTGCCTCCGTTTGCCTTAAACAAGTACAATGACCTATCCATGGTGAGCGGGTTATCTTTTTAGAATCCTATTCTTTTTTAAGCTGAAATCTGGTTTTATAACACTGGATATAAAAAGATATTTTTTATTTATATTTTTATTAATTAAAAATTTAAAACCTTTTTTTTTATTATTTTTGATTTCTTTTTTTCAAAATAAAGTTATATCTCTTTAAAACATGTTTTTTTAAAAGCAATATTTTATTTTCAAATTTTCTTCTAATATTTTTTTTTTTTTTTTTTTTTTTTTTAATTTTTTTTTTTAATTTTCAAATTATTTTTTCATTTTTTTATTTTAGTTTTCATTTTTAATTGTTTTTTAGTTATAATTATAAATAATAATAATAGTACAGTTATAATTGTAAAATAAAATCAACAATATGCATAGAGTTAGAGAAATTCAAGGAATCAATCAAAAAGAATTAAGTTTAAATATAAATGATAATGCTTCATGGCATGCCGATTATAGTCATAGTCCATATATCTATGTTGGTGGTTTAAATTTCGATTTAACTGAGGGTGACATTATATCAATCTTTAGTCAATATGGTGAAATATCAGAATGTAATTTGGTTAGAAATAAAGAAACTGGCAAATCTCAAGGCTTTTGTTTTATAGGATACGACAATCAAAAGAGCACAGTTTTAGCAGTTGATAATTTCAATGGTATCAAAGTTTTGGGTAAAACTATTAAAGTTGACCATGTCAAAGATTATAAAAGACCAAAAAAGAATAATGAAGATCCAACTACGAGTGATGAGGATGAAAATGATTCAGGTGATAGCAGCGGCAGTGATGATGGCAAAAAAAGTGATAATGATGATGATTATGATGATGGTGGTGATGATGATGATCCTATGGCTAAATATATGAAAAAAAGAAAGAGAAAGGAAGAAAAGAAATTAAAGAAAAAATTGAAAAAAGAAGAAAAGAAAAAACAAAGAGAAAATGAAACTCCTGAAGAAAAAGAAAAAAGAAAAAGAGAAAAAGAAAAAAGAAAACAAGAAAAGAAAAAATTAAAGCTATCAGATAATGAAAGAGATAGAGAAAATGAAAAGGAAAATGAAAAGGAAAAGGAAAAGGAAAAAGAAAGAGAAAAGGAAAGAGAAAAGGAAAGAGAATATGATAGAAATAGGGAAAGATATGAAAAAGGTGACAGAGATAAAAGAGATAGGAGCCGAAGTAGAAGCAAAGAAAGATACAACGATAGAGATAGAGATAGAGAAAGAAAAGAAAGAAGCCGAAGTAGAAGTAGAAGCAAAGAAAGATATACCAATAGAGATAGAAGAGATAGCAACTACGATAGAAGAGATGACCGTGATAGATATAATAGTAGCAATAGAGACAGGGATAGATACAGAGAATATAATGATAGAGATAGATACAATAACAGAGACAGAGACAGAGACAGAGAAAGAAATAAAGACCGATATGACGATAGAGACAGATCCAAACACCATAGAAACTACAGAGATAGATCTCCTCAAAGAGATTATAGAAAATAATAAATAATATTAATTAAATAAATAATAAATAAACTGTAAATAAAAGAATATTAAAAAGATATTTAAATAAAAAAGAAAATGAAAGAAATAATTTATTTCTAAGCGAAATATATTATTTCTTTTATGTGTTTATTTATTTATTGTGTAACTTGATTTAACTTGGCTAGTGAACCGTATTAAAACAAAGTAACGAACCAACACTATACGGAGTATGTTTTTGGTTTTTTTATTCCTCTCCTATTAAGCCATAATAGCTCACCCATCTGTAACCGGGAGAAATGATTTATAGCTGAACATGAAGAAAAATAAGGGTAAAATTGATTTTGATGACTTTTGAACTATAATAACTGGATCTTGAACGGAGCCATTTCTGTTTTTTTATTCAAAAAAATAGATTATTCTGTTGAAAAAAAAAAAAAATTTTATTAGTAAGTTATATAATTTATAATTTAAAAAAAGTAATATTTACATTATCTTTCAGTTTTAAAATAACCATGCATAATTATATGATTGCGGTTTTCTAAAAGTTTTTTAATTTAATTTATTAATTAGGTTGAAAGTAACTATTTAAATTATTAAGAGTAATTTTATTTGAGCAATAATATGTTTGCAAAAAAGCAAACAATAAAACTGATGATAAAAATAATTTTATTTTTTCTATTTATACATTTTTAAAGAGAAAAACAAAAGAAGTGATCAATTATAATGCATAAAATTTATAAGAAATCTGATTTAAATTTAAATCAAAATTCTTTAATTATTTAAAAAAAAAAAATTAATTTAAAAAATAATAAAAAAAAATATTTTTTTTTTTTCTAACTATATATCATTTAATTAGAAAAAATGATGGGTTATTTTTAGAGTGATGGAAAATGATCTTTAGAAAGAGAAAATAAAAAAAAAAATACAAAGCAGTTTGGATAAAGATATTTTTAATCACACTACTCTTTATTAGTTCATTAACCGAATAAATAAAAAAAAAAAAAATTGAAAAGGTTAAAGAATAAAATATTTTTTATTAAAAATTAAAATTATATTAAAAATTTGCTTTCTCAAAAATTCCTAAAAAAAAAAGTTTCTCTCAAAATTTCAAACAAAAATATTTTTTTATATTTTTTTTTTTTTAATTTTCAATATTTAATTTTAAAATCTTTTTTTTTATAATTCATTAATTTTAAAAAACAAAAAAAAAAAAAAAATGAAAATACAATATATATTTATTTTATTATCTTTAATTTTATCTGTTGCCTTTGGTATAGAGGTCTATGTTTCAGAAGCAGGTAATGATGAAAGTTATTGCGGTCAATATGTTTACTCACCATGGTAAGTTTTAATTTTATTATTATATTTATTTCCAATCATTCTTAATGATTTACAAAAATTTATTTATAAAAAAAAAACCAACAATTATAAATATTAATTTTTTTTTTTTTTTAAATTTAACAGTCAAACCATTGACTATGCTATTAAAAAAGCCATGAGTACTATAGAATCACAATATCTTTTAAGAGAAATCAATGTTAACCTCTTGTCAGGACAATACAATATTCAACATTCATTAAATCTCTATGGCTATAGTGTCACCTTAAGTCGATACTATCCATATCAAGCAGTTTCTATCGGTTATTCCTCCTATCACTACAATGCAATGTTTCATATCAATGCTTACTCAAAAATCAATACCTTGGGCTTCGCATCAACTAGTTTCAAAGTTGAAGATATTGTTATTTCAAATTGTTATGTTGATTCTTCCAAAGCCACCCTCCTCGAAATTAATGATGGTAACTATTCTGTTCCAATTCATGTAGAGCTTAATAATGTTCAATTTTCTTGCCAAAATATCTATGCCCCATTCATTTCATATACCGGTGAAAGCTACAGCAATTCAGAAGATTTATCATTATCATCATCATCATCATCATCATCATCAAACGAATATGATGCAACAAAAACTAATACCTATAACTACTACAGTAGCAGCAGCAGCAGCAGCAATGATTATAACTTAACCTCAAGTTCAAGCTCTGACAACAATAACAACAATAACTTTATTTCATTTAGTGATAACCAATCATTCGGAAACTGGCCAGAATATGGTTACAATATGTCAGTTACCTTTAAATTTAATAATATTAAAATTGTTAATGGTTACTGCAACAGTGATATTCCATTATTATTAAATGTATTTAATTCAAGAAACCCAGTTCAAATATATTTATCTGATAGCTCATTCCCATATATCTATGCTTCAAACTTTATTAATGCAGAATCAGCCTCCGTTAACTTTAATAATGTCCATTTCCCAAGCTATTCAGGAAATAGTGGTGGTGGATTTTTAAACTTTGAATATTCGAAAGTTTCATTCAATAATGTCAGCCTTCAAGGTGTATTTTATTCATCAAACCTTTTAAATTGTGTCGATTGTATATTTATTGCCAATCAATTTAACCTTGCAATTCAAATGTCTAATTATGGTGTCTATGACTTTATGTCATTCACCAACTCATTTGTTACAATTGAAAATTCAAATCACACCATTGTTTCATCCAACCAAAACCCATCAACCAGTATTTACGGTTTAACCAAATCAAATCTTGCCTTATTCTCAAATCTTATCTCAGTTGGTAACTCCCCACTTTTCCAATTATCAAAATCATCAATTAATGTAAACCGTAATAATTTAATGGTATTTTCAACATTAGATTATAGTTCCATTAATTTATGTACCACCAATATCGATCTTAACACTAAAGTCAGTGGTGATGAATTCTTTGTTTTCAGATTTAACAACGATTGCTATGGTCCAAGTTCTTTCACTCCATCCACTGTCGAAAGGTATTACCTTCTTTTAGCTTTCTTTGTCGGTGTATTCACCATTACAATCTTTTTCATCATTGCCTACACAATCTCTGCTATTTGTAAATGTAAAAGAAGAAATAACAAACGTAATCAATATAAACAAATAGTTAATTAATTAATTATTATCATAAAACAATAACAAAAACTTTATAATATTTGTGTAATAACTTAAAATGCCATCTGTAATAATTTTAAAAAAAAAAAAAAATAAAAAGAAAAAGTATTTTTTTTTTAAGTTATTAATGATCAACTCCAAAAAAAAAAAAAAAAAAAAAAAAAAAAAAACTTAAGAGTTTTTTTTTGTAAACAAAATAAAAATAATCTTTCATCAAATTATTTGTATTAACACTTTTGGTTAATAAATACATTGTAATAATAATATTTGTATCTCTTTTTTTCATTTCCTTTTTTTATTATTTTCCAGTAAAAAAAAAAATAAAAAAAATAAAAAAAAATTATTTTCAATTTTTTTTTTTAAATTTTAGAGGCAAATTTTTTTTAATTAGATATATGCTAATTTATAATATTTCTTTGTTTTATATATATACATAAAAATAATAATATATTTATTATTTATTAAACTATATGTTTTTTTTAGATATAAACATAGTTGTAAATTAAAAGGATTTATTTAGTTATATATATTAAAATAATAAAATAATAAATAATAAACAAATATAATAATACAATAGAAAAATAACATAATAGTATAATCGTAATAATAAATAATGATTAAAGCAATAGATAAAGAATCAGTTAATAATATTTGCAGTGGTCAAGTTATTTTCGATTTATCTATTGCAGTTAAAGAATTAATAGAGAATAGTATCGATGCAGGAGCAACTTCAATAGAGATTAGATTAAAAGAATATGGTGAAGAAATTATTGAGGTTATTGATAATGGCTCTGGTGTAGAGCCCTCAAATTTCGAAGCATTGACAATGAAACACTATACATCAAAACTCGAACAATTTAGTGACCTTTTAACAGTGGAAACCTTTGGATTTCGTGGCGAAGCTTTGAGTTCATTATGCGCACTATCAAATGTTACAGTTATAACTAGAACTGCAAATTATCCAATGGCACAAAAATTAGTTTTTGCAACAGATGGCAAAATTATGTCACAATCACCTATAGCTAGAGAAGTTGGTACTACTGTTCAATTAATTAATTTATTTAAAAAGTTGCCTGTTCGTTATCAAGAATTTAAAAGAAATATTAAAAAGGAATATACCAAATTACAAACCATCATTCAAGCATATGCTTTAATTTCTACCGGTAAACGTATCACTTGTTATAACCAAGCAGGAAAAGCACAAAGAAACTGTGTAATATCAACCAGTGGTGGCAACTCAACCTTACGTGATAATATAGCATCTATATTTGGTTCTAAAATGAGTCAATCATTGGACGAGTTTACTGCATCCGATAATTTGTTTAAAGTTAATGGTCTAATATCAAAAATTGGTCTAGGAAATGGTCACGGTCAATCAATTGGCTCCCAACCCTCACAATCAAATGGTGCAATTCAATCATTAAGCTCCCTATCTAGAAGTTGTGCAGATAGACAATTCTTCTTTATAAATGGTAGACCCTTCGAACACTCTAAATTAGCAAAAGAAATTAATACCCTGTATCATCAATTTCATAAAAGAGGAGCATACCCTGTTGTAGTTTTTAATATCGAGACCCCAACTGACAACTATGATGTCAATGTTACCCCTGACAAAAGAACAATTTTTATCCAAAAAGAATCTCAATTACTTTTATTAATTTCAGATGGTTTAAAAACAATGTGGGAAAAAGTTCAAAGTATTTTTGATCCAAGTGCGCCAAACTCTTTAACTTTTGATGAAGACGAAGATGAAACAATAAAGAAAAAAAACTTTAGTATTCAACAATCAAAAATTTCTTCATTTCCAAATATATATCAATTAAAAAGTGAAGAGGACGAAGAAAATAAAAAAAAGAAAATAATAAATGATAAAAATAATAATACTACAACAACCACAACAACCACTACCAAAATAACATCAACAAAAAGTTTAAACATAAGTATAAATTCCGATGACTCATTTGATATTCAGCCACTAAAAAAACAAAAGCATAATAATAGTACAGATAGTAATAAAGATATCAGCACAGATAATAAGCAGTTACCAAAAACTCCACATCCATCAAAGAAATTAAATTTATTGGATGAATTTAATAATGATAATGATAGTAGTACCATGGATGGTGATGATTATACTCAACCAACAGTGTCAAATAAAAACAAAACGGTACCACAAACAAACTCCCCATCATCAAGCCAGAATACCATTTTGGATGATAACGAGTATTATAATTTAAAGCTAACCAATTTAAATAGCTCAACAAGCAACTTTAGTGTTTTGGATGATTTTGAGTTTAAAGGTACTTCAAGTAACGATAAAAAACCATTTAAAATTGTAAATACTAGTCCCATTAAAAAAATAAATAACACTAACGATAATATGAATAATAATAATACGAACAATAACAATAATAATAATAATGTGAATAATAATATAAATAATATAAATAATAAAAACAACAATAATAAAAATAAAGAAGATGAAAATGAAAATGATTCTGGATATCAACAAAAGAATTCAAAAACATTTGATATTACTATTAAAACAGATATAGAACAAATAAAGAAACAATATTTAATTAGAAATGGAACATTTGATGAAGATAACAATCCAGTTATACCAAACACAGCATTGGTTTTTACAAGTATAGATGGTGATGATGGTAGCAATATAGACCTTACAAATGATTTAAGTCCTGGTAGTTGCTGTACAATTGACCACTCATTACCACAGCTTGATGGTAAATTTTCAAGTAGTCTCGGTGGTATCGGTGTTAAAGCAACTCAACAACAACAACAAATTCAACAACAACAACAAGCAGAGCTGGAACTTACGAAATATTTTAAAAAAGAATACTTTAAACAAATGATAGTGATCGGCCAATTTAATTTGGGCTTTATTATTGCAAAATTAGGAAATGATCTTTTTATAATTGATCAACATGCAGCAGATGAAAAATATAATTTCGAAATGTTATCAAAATCTTTAGAAATTAGTTCACAGCCACTAATTAAACCTGATCCACTCTCTGATTTAACTTGCGAAGAGGAAATGATCATCATCGAAAATATAGATCTCTTTAAGAAGAATGGTTTTAAATTTATCATTGACCCCGAAGCTCCACCAAGAAATAAAATCCAATTATCAGCATTTCCAATGATTCATGGTCAAACATTTGGTATTAAAGACGTTTACGAACTTATTTATCTTTTAAAAGAATCGCCAATACCAGGTTCAGTTACAAAAATTCCAAGATTAAACACTTTATTAGCCTCAAAAGCATGCAGAAAATCGATTATGGTCGGGAATTCACTTTGTCATAAAGAAATGAAGGATGTTTTAAATAACCTATCAACATTAGATAACCCTTGGTGTTGTCCCCATGGTAGACCAACCATGAGACACTTAATAGATTTCAATCATAGTTTAAAAAAAGTACAACAACAACAACAAAATAAAAAAGATAAAGAAAAAGATAAATAAATAAATGTATAAATAAATAATCTTTATTTTTTTTTTAAACTTTGAAGATCCAATCATTTACCATTAAATTTAATGCTGGATTCTTTTTTTTAATTTTTATAAACTGATAAAATATTGGGTTTAATTGCGAAATAAAATTATTATTATATTGAAAAACCTCGATAGATTTTAGATTATAAAAGTTAAATATATCATTATTACTATTTTTATTACTACCATCATTATTATTTATATTGTTGTTACTATTCATTTTATATATTGTTGTGGTTAAGTTTGGAACTGATGAATCTACAACTAAACATTCTAATTGCTGATAGTGCTCTAGGTTTATTGTTTGCTTAAAAGTTGAACCTAAAACTAGCTTTTTGATTGGGAGATTTGGGGGTAACTCTTGATTGAAATCATTTGAAACCTCCAGGTACTCTAAATCTTGTAACTTATTTAAGGATAGTGTTTTAATTGGTTTATCGAAGCCATACGGTATTCGAAGTGATTTGTATGAAATTTCTTGGGGTCTATAAAACAAATTAATATTTCTTTTGCATCTTATAATTGTATTTGGGTTTTTTATTTGAATTGGATGTTTATATTCGTAGTGAAATACATCTAAAGTTAAAACACTTGACGGTATAGTATTGTCTGCAAACTTTCTATTAAAGCTATCTCCAAACACTACAGTTTTTAAATTACCAGATTTGGGTAGTGTATTTGGGCCTACAGGTTTATTGAAAGATGGGCCAAGGTTTAGATAAGTTAACGAGTCTGGAAATACGTTATCCTCTAGCGGAAAGTCACCATTATTAAATACGCCATATTCCTCCCCGTCATCGAAACTAAGGTGCTTTAGAGTTGGAGGCAATTGATTTGGTAATAATTTTTTATTAAAATAATATCCGGGTAATCTTTTTGCTTTTTTGATAGTTAAAATTACTAAACGTTCTAAATTGGGCGGTAGAATTGAAATATCTTGATCATCAAAAAATGAATTGCAGCTAACCTCTAGTGACTTTACTGTTTTTGGTATCATTTGATGGGAGATAACTTGATACACTAACTTTAAATATAAATACTCTAGTGATGGCGGTATGATATCATTCTTTATAAAGTATGCTAAAATTTTTAATTTCTTTAAACTATTGGGTAGTTGAGAATGTATTTCTTTACAACAAAGCTCTAGCTGTACTAATTGTGATGGAAATTTAAAAAGTGATGTAAACTCCAAACTCTTATTGGTATCTGCAATTCTTAAACTTGTTAAACTATTTGGTAGTAATTGTTGCTCGATTTGATTAGTCGGGAAACTGCCCTCGATATTTAACTTTGTTAAAGACTCTGGAAGAACCAAACCCTCTTCGAATGGAACCTCTGAACATTTTAACATTACAAGTTTCTTTAAGTTTTTTGGTAGTGAATCTTTCTTTATTGTATGTTCGTAAAATGAAAGCTCTAACTCTGTAATAGATTCTGGTAACGTTTTATAATTGAACTCTTGATGTGATTCCCCATAACCACCCAAACTAATTGATACAAGACACTTTGCATTTTTAAAAATTGATAAATCATAATTTACAGGAATAGTAACAGATTTGATCCAACTTGGTATTGGTGATGAAACACGGAAATATGAAAAATTTAAAACATTTATATTTCTTGGTAGATCCCTTTCTAAGCTGTCACAATTAAATCCAATTTCGACACCATTAAGATATTCTTTATATTTGAATTCGTCTAAAGTTTGCAATGACTTTATGAACTTGGGATAAAAAAAAATATTATAAAGCTTTACATAATATAAAATGAGCTGCCTTATATATTTATTTGTCCAAACTGAACAAAATAAATTATTATTATTTTCTGTCAATTTCATTTTATGATTTTTAATTTGTTGCTTTTATAACTTTTATAAAAAATAATTTAATAAAATAAAAATAATTTTTTTTTAATTTTTTTTTTTTTTTTTTTTTTTTTTTTTATTTTTTTTTTGGAAACCATTATTTTCTAAATTGATATACATCTAATTAATTTATATATTAGTTATTTTTAGTAATAAAAAATGGTAATCAATAAAATAATTAAATTTTTTTAGAACATTACTCTTAAAAGTAAATGAAAAAAAAAAAAGATAATTATCACAAGAAATAACTATCCCGATAATATTTAGTAAAAGCCTTCAAAGTGAAAGAATTGAAGACAAAAATAAAAAAAATATTTCCAACAATCAGCTTGGTTGGGTGGTTTTGATGGTAATTTTAGGATGTTTAAAAATAAAAATTGATAAAAAGTGTTTTAAATTTTTGATAAATAAATATAAGATAATTAATGGAGAATATTACTTTTTTTTTTTTTTTTATTTAATTATTTTTTTAAAAAAATAAAGAAAAAAAGTTTTATAAAATATTTAGAGTTGATGGTTGGGTGGTATTGAACATATGCTTTTGGGGGAGATGATGGAGAAGGATTATTACTATTACTATATTATATTTTTTTAATTTTTTTTATTATTATTATTTTAATTTTATTTATTTCTTTTTTTTGTTTTTTTTTTTTTTGTGTTTTTATAGTATTATCCATTAATTTTTATTTTCTTTTTTTTTTTTTTTATTTGTTTAATTAAATTTTAAAAATGAAATTAAAAAAATTAAAGAAAAAAGAAATAAAAAAACGAAAGAGAATTTAATACTATTATTAAGTTATTATTATTATTATTGGTTATTAAATTATTTATTTTCAGCAGCGTATAGGTACACAGTATTAGCGGCGCCAACGGCAATAAGATTATCTTTTGGATGCCAAGCACAATGGAGGGTTTTCTTTGTATATTCAATTGCATCTGGATGAATATCTTCTGGTTTCTTTGGTTCTTTTTTGGATGAACGAAGCTTCATCTTTGTGCTGAGTGTTTTTGTTTTAGATTTGGTGGCTTGTTTTGAAGCTTCTAAGCAAACATCTTGTTTTGAATTACGATCGTAGATGTGAAGATAGTTGTGATAGGAACCAGTAAGCATTTGAGTACCATCATGGTTAAGAGTACATTCAAATTTGTCAAAGATACAATCGTTTTCGTAAAGGTCGCAGAGTTTTGGTTTGAGGTAGTCGTGAATTTGAATGGTTTTGATTGGTCTGTTTTCCATGTTAATATCCCAAAGTTTAAGAGTTAAAAAGTCTCTACTGAGAATATATCTGCCGTCTCTGCTAAATTTAATATCTGAAATAGAGGAGATGATCTCACTGAAAAACGATTTGTTTGATGGATCTTCATATTCTTCAAATACCTTGGCGTGATTATCACAAAGAGCTGATGATCTAAGATCACCCAATTTAATGGTTCCTTTACTTGAGCTATACATAAATATATTACATGATGTAGGATGAAACTCTGCGGATGTAATTACTTCCGTAAGATCTTCCATATTGGTAGGTTTGATATCAACAACATTAAAACATTCTGTGTTAATATTGAGATTCCATAAATGAATTCTAAGGTCATCTGATGAAATATATGTTTCACCATCACTATTTAAAGAAATTGAGTTAATATGATATGCATGGGCATTTTGAAAAACTTTTCTTGGGGTTGCTGTTACAACTGTTTCTCTTGTAGTTAAACGTGGTATCTATAAAAAATAAAATAGAAAAGAAAAGTTTTAAAATTAATATTGTTTTATATTATTATTATTGTTGTCTCTAACATTGCTTTTTCCCTACCTTATATTGATTTAAATTTGTTAAATTATTCATATTATTCATATTATTGTTATTATTGTGTCCACTATTGTAAATATAATTATGTGACGGAGATCTATTATTGTTTGAGCTTAAACCGTTGTATGATGGTGCTGAACTTGATGTTGAAACTTGTTTTATTTTCTTTTCATAAACTTTCCAAAGCTTAATGGTTTTATCTATTAGAAAAAAGGTGGTTAATAATACATTTTTAAATTTTATTTTCTTTTTTTTTAAAAAAAAAATTACCATTTGTTGTTAATAAAAATTGAGCTTCATTTTGTTTTGGGCACCATTTAATCTTATTAATTTTTTCTTCAATCTCTAAACTCTTTAAATAATCAAACTCTGGTTCGTGACTTTGAAACTCTGAATAAAATTTATACTCTGGTAATTTATTTTTTTTGCTTGATTGTTTATCCTTTTATAAAAAATATTAAAAAAAAAGAGAAAAAAGAGAGTAAAAAAAAAAAAATGTTAATAAAAAAACCCCACTAAAATAAATATGTCAAAAAATTATAACTTACATGTGATTTTTCTAAAAGCATAACTCTACCACCTCTATCACCAACAGCAATATAGTCACCACTTTGATCAAATTCAATTGCTGAAACTACATCAGCTGTATAATTTAAAAAAAAAAAATGATGTTAGTATGTTGTACGTTTTTTTTTTTAATTATTACTAAACTAATTGATATTACCATCTGAAGCATCTTCTGTTCCTTTACCACCAAAGGTTTGACTAAATCTCCAGTCTAATGGTTCTGACATTATATTTATTTATATATATATATGAGCTGTATTTATTATTGTTTTTTTTTTTCGTATTTAATTTAATATGTTCACTACTTGTCCCCTTTATTTGCTATAATTTAATTATTTTTTTAATTACAATTTCGTTTTTTATTAAATTTGTTATTTGATTTTAATATGTTACTACTATTATTACTATTATTCTGTTTAATATTATAATAAATTAGTATTATTACTACAACTACTCTATACGTGTAATTATTTATTACTACTATTTTTATTTATATAAAATCAATAAACGAACAAAAAATAATAATAAAAAAAAAACAAAAAATAATAAACAACAATTGAGGAAATAATTAAATATATAATTTAATAAATATTATTATAAAAACAATGTGAAAAAATAAACTATATGGCTTATTTTTTATTTTTTTTTGTGTTTTTTTATAAACTATTGTTTTTAATATAAATTATATTTATATTTAAATTATATAAATAAAAAAAAAAAAATAATTTAAAATAACATAAAAAAAAATTGTGTGATTGAAATTATTATGGAGAAAAAAAATTAAAAAAATTTTAAAAAAAATTGATTTTTTTTTTATTTTTTTTAAAAAAAAAATTAAAGAGTTCAAAAAAAAAAAAAAATAAAAAATTTAAAAAATTAAAAATATAAAAAAATAAATAAATAAATAAATACTTGATTTTATTATTTATAAATAAATAAAAAAGAGTTTTATATGCAAAAGTTTTTTGGGTTTTGGGTATTTTTTTTTTTTTTTTTTGTTTTTTTTTTTTTTTTTTGATTATTTTTTTTTTTGATTATATTTTTTTATTTTATTTTTAAAATCCAAATATGTATTATTACTTAATATTATTACTATATGAATGTTGTGATGAGTTATTGTTATTATTATTATTGATAAAAATCTAAAGTCCTTGATCATTAAAATTTTACAAATCGAAAGAATTTCTTCCATATTTATAAACACACTAAAACACAAAGAAATAAAAAATAAAATAAAAAAAATAAAACCAGTGTTGTTTTTTTTTTATGCATAAGTGTTTGTGAATGTAATTCTTTTTTACTATTTTACCTACTATTGTTATATA